TCATGGCTGATCTTCTAATCTAACTCCAGCTAATAACCTAATCCTGCCTTATCCCCATATCCCTTTATCCCTTTTGCAATAAGAAATCTATCTATCTCAGTCTTGAATATGTTCAAGGACTGAGCGTTAACAGCCCTTTGGGGTAGTGAGTTCCATACATTCACCACCCTTTGAGTGAAGAAGTTCGTCCTCAATTCAGTGCGAAAGGGCTGGCCTCTGATTTTAAGGTTGTGACCCCTGGTTTTAGTTTCTCCAACCAGGGGAAACAATCTCCCGCTATCTACTCTATCATGCCCTTTGATGATCTTATAGGTTTCTATAAGATCCCCTCTAATTCTTCTATATTCTAGAGAATATAGGCCCAAATTGGTCAGCCTATCCTCGTAACTCAACCCCTTCATCCCTGGTACTTACCCAGTAAATCTACGCTGCACCCACTCCAAGGCAAGTACGTCCTTCCTTAAATGAGGAGACCAAAACTGGACACAGTATTCCAGGTGTGGTCTCACCAGGGCCCGATACAGTTGCAGCAAGACTTCCCTACTCTTATACTCTAATGCTTTCATAATGAATGCTAACATACCGTTCACCTTCCTAATTGCTGCTGCACCTGCAGACTAACTTTCTGTGATTGGTGTACAAGGACACCCAAGTCCCTCTGGACACTAACACATTCCAATCTCTCCCCTTCTAAAAAATAACCCGCTCTACTGTTTTTGCTACCTAGGTGGATGACTTCGCACTTCCCTACATTATACTTCATCTGCCACCTACCTGCCCAATCACCTAACCTATCTATGTCTCGCTGCATTTTTTTAATGTCGTCCCCTGTATTGGCACTTCCTCCAAGTTTTGTGTCATCCGCGAATTTAGATATATTAACTTTGATGTCCTCATCTAGATCGTTGATGTAGATGGTAAATAGCTGAGGCCCAAGGACTGATCCTTGTGGCACTCCACTAGTCACATCCCGCCAATCTGAAAAGGACCCGTTTATCCCTACTCTTTGTTTCCTACCCGTTAACCATTCCCCAATCCACGTTAATATGCTCCCCCCAATTCCATGGGCCCTTATCTTTTGGACTAACCTTTTATGCGGCACCTTATCGAATGCCTTCTGGAAGTCCAAATAGACCACATCCACTGATTCACCCTTATCTAGTTTACTGGAAATGTCCTCAAAAAACTCTATGAGATTTGTCAAACATGACTTCCCTTTTGTAAAGCCATGTTGACTTGGCCTAATTATATTGTGCTTCCCTAAATACCGCACTACCACATCCTTAATCAATGATTCTAAAATTTTTCCTATCACTGATGTGAGACTAACTGGCCTATAGTTCCCCATCTTTTCCTTTCCACCTTTTTTAAATAGTGGTGTGACATTTGCGATCTTCCAATCCATGGGGACTGTTCCAGAATCCAAGGAATTTTGGAAGATCAGACATAAGGCCTCCACTATCTCATAAGCTACCTCTTTTAAAACCCTGGGATGCAAGCCATCCGGACCAGGGGATTTGTCACTTTTTAGTGCTAACAGTTTCTCTAGCACCAATTCTCTACTAATGAAAATTTCCCTAAGTTGCTCCCTGTCCTTATCCCTTTGGTGCATCTCTATTGTTGGCAGACCTGTTGTGTCTTCTAGGGTGAAGACAGATGCAAAGTACCCATTTAGGGACTCTGCCATGTCCTTGTCCCCCATTACAACTTCTCCCGTCTCTGACTGAAGTGGACCTACATTTACCCTTAATAGCCTATTCCTTTTAGTATATTTGTACAATCAGACTTAATGTTCCTAGCTAGCTTACCCTCATACTCCTTTTTCTCGCTCTTAATGAGTTTTTTGGTTTTATTTTGCTTGTTTCTAAAACTCTCCCAATCTTCAGATTTGCCGCTTTTCTTGGCAGTTTTATAAGCTTTTCTTTTAATTTGATGCATTCCCTAACTGCTCTAGTTAGCCACGGATGAATTGCTTTCCCTGTGGTACTCTTATTCCGCAAGGGAATATGCGACCGCTGAGAATTTTGCACTACATCCTTAAATATTTGCCACTGTTGGTCTACATTTTTACCTCTTAATCTTATTCTCCAGTCTATTTTACCTAAATCTTTCCTCATACCTACAAAATTAGCCCTATTTAAATTCAGAATACTTGCCTCGGATTTAACTATATCCCTCTCTAACTTAATGCAGAATTCGATCATATTGTGATCACTCTGCCTTAGAGGATTCTTAATACCTACACTGCCAACTAGCCCTGTTTCGTTACACAAAACAAAGTCTAGGTTGGCCTGTCCCCTAGTTGGCTCCTCGGCATGCTGCTCTAGAAAGTTATCTCTCATACACTCAAAGAACTCTTCTTCTGACCTACTTTTGCCGATTTGGTTTTCCCAATCTATGTGGAGATTGAAATCACCCACTATTATCGCTTTACCTTTGCTACATGCTCCACTGATTTCTTGATTGATACCCTGTGCTATTTTGTGATCGCTGTTTGGAGGTCTATAAACCACTTCCAATAATATTTTATGTCCTTTATTATTTTTTATTTCCACCCATAATCTCGACCGGCTGGTCATTGGATTTTAGATCCTTCCTCTCCACTGCTTTTATTTCATCCCTAATTAACAGGGCTACCTCCCCACCTCTTTTCCCACAGTGCCTATCTTTCCTGTAAACTGAGAATCCTAGATCTCCTTGTAACCATGTTTCAGTTTTGGCTACTAGATCGTACCCATATGTGTCTATCTGTGCTTTTAATTCATCAATCTGTGCTTTTAATTCATACTTGTGCCTAATACGCTCTGGAATTCGATAAACAGGGTTTGTGCCTCAAAGGAGAAAGTATTCTATTCAGATGGGAATTTCCATGTTTAGGTGGCATACATTATTATATTTCACACGGAATTCTCAGGCTGGTTTGGTTACTCTTAAGCATGGTGATGGGTTTCTGCATGTGTCAGATACATGCCCGACCAAGATAAAGCCAGACAAAACAATGTTGTGACCGTTTGATACCAGTAACATGATCACCAAGAAGGCCAAAACTCCACTGCACCATTTACTAAAACTAACGGAACCAAAACTGATGTAAACTTTGTTGTGAGAAGAGATGCTGCAAGGAAACTGAAATTCAAACTCCTGCGTTCTCTAGCCAATTAATGCTAGAGACATAGGTTAACCCTGCGCATAATTTAACTATGTATTTGATAGCTTGGAAACTGGAATTTAAATTTTTGTTTGCCTAGTGTTCAACTGAGCACCAGACTTTAAGACTCCAAAAGTTATTTATGTAAAGAAATTAGTTGAGACAATTTACATTTCTTACAATTCAGATGGCATTACTAATTACAAAAACAAAAGTCGCTGGGAACACTCAGCTGGTCAGGCAACTGCGTGTTCCCAGCGACTTCTGTTTTTGTTTTCAGATTTCCAGCATCTGGGGTATTTTGGTTTTTTGGGGGGGAATTGCTAATTGTTTGACGAGAAAGTGGATTGGTATACAAATATCCTTGGTATGGAGTGGTAGGATATTTGTGCTTTCTTGCCGATAAGTTCCCCTAAAAATAAGTTTCTCACCTTGGCTGGATAACTGGGAATGCAATCACATGCAAGTCAGACAATTCCCCAGCGGGGGGGGGGGGTATTCAGGGTTCAAATTATCTAAGGCTAATCTACAAACAGCAGCAGCTGGTTGTAGGGCCAATACACCAAAGCCAACCACACTCTCAGACGAAAACCTAAAGATTACACAGTTTACAAAATTATACAATTGACCAGATCAGAGCGTACTCATTAGTCTACTAATATCCTGAATGGTTGCATCATTACTAGAAACAGTTTGGGCTGTCCTAAATAGATGTCATAAATCATTCCCCACAAATGCACTGATGTCATCACTTTATGCCACTTATGATAGATTTAGAACAGTGTTTTATTCTGATTACTGGGTGCCCAAACCACCGCCTCATCAACTGATAGAATGATGACTCCATCAGGCAGCAGATCAAACGTATCAACTCACTAACCGTTCCAATTCCCTGCTACAAAAGGTATTGAGGCTTTCTTATGCAATTTAACAAAAGGCTTTTGAAAATGAAAACACAGACATAATAGTACAGACAAGGAAGTGAGGGGATTATGGAAAATTTTACCAGTTACACACAAGTTACTTATGAATGGCACTGTTCCTCAATGAAACTCGTTACTTAAATGATGCAACTTATGTTTCTTTTTTATTGATACTGTGTGACTGAGAACTACCATATTTTACTTGTGAAAGCTACAATTACATAGGCCATAACACTTTTTTTAAATAAAAACCAACAACAATTTACATTTCATGTAGGAGAACATCTCCTAAGCACTTTACAAGGTCTGAATGGGAGTTCAAATATGGAGGGGAGAGAACGTTCTTTTGGGCAGGCTTTGAAAGCAGAAAAAGAGGTGAGGTGGAGATATTTCAGAAGAGAGTTCCAGTGAGTGGAACAAACAAGCTGAAATCATCTGCTGATGGTGGGGGGCAGAATGGGTGCAGGGTAAGTGACAACTGTGGAACTGTAGTCAATGAAATGGAAACAAATGCGAAATTCATTTATTAGGAAAAGATAAAGTAAAATATATAAATTGGCAAAAGGAATACAACTTCTTGTAGGAACTGTTTAAAATTGACAATAATTTTACCACCTTCACAGAAACCCACTCGTTAAAGTCCCCAAAAGGTAAAATCAGTAGCTAGTTGTATTGGAGTATCAATATGGAAAACAGTACAACTTGATGTGTTCTTAGTTCCATTCACAAATACTGAATCAGCCAAGATCCTTTATAGTTAAATTCACATTATTTAGAATAAATCTTACAAGAACATTTTAAAATACTTATTTTTAGAATAATTTTTAAATTAATCACATTTTCATCAAAATGTTTCACTATCTTTAGTAAAAATAGTATTAAAAAAAGCTATGGGTAGAAGATAGTTTCACCCAAGAGTGAAGTCTTACCTTGTAATGAACTTCCTCTGCAACTTCTTGGTTTAGATCATTATTTATTTGTAAATGTTCGTTCCATTTCTGTTGCACTTGAGCCAATTCTTCAGCAAAAGCATGGCTTCTATCACTTTCTTCCTACAAAACGAGGGAGAAAATCATTATTGCTGGGGAACGGTTTATGTAAATAATCCTTTTACCATGTTCCAATTTTGGTTCTGGCTACTTTCATGTTATTTCACTCTAAATAATTGTCACAGCTGATTTACTGTGTGTTTATACCACACAAATACACCCATAAAGAGTAGATTTTATTTTCTCAGTAGATATTTTGGCTCAATGTAATACCTTCAGAAATGAGATTGCTTAGAAGCTACTTTACTGCTAGAACTAAAAATCTCCAATCAGAATATTTTAGAATTGTCCTGAGAAAGCTATTTCTTGGAACTGCAGAAAGTATCTACCACAAAGAAGCTTAACTAAGTGATCTTCCTTCACCCAGGTATTGATATAAAAAGATTCAGTTAACTCAATTATTTGTAAGGGTCCCATCTTCTCATTACTGATAAATTGTCTAGATTTGGAGGTGAGGCTGTTGGCATTTTGCACCTGGAATACCAGTGGGAGCAGGCTTTTTTTATTATAGGTAATATACATCCCTGGGCCTCTTGAACCAAACTTTAGTGTATCAGTACACAGCAGCACCAGCAGTGATAACTGAACAATTCAATATCGATGTGCTCCACTCACAGATACCTGTTTGGTGAAATACATGGAATGGATCAGCATATTTTCAGGTAGATTGCAGTAAGCAGGTGAAATTTCACACAATAACTCTGAATGAAAATTCACCTCCTTACTGGAGTCTACCTAGAGATATCCTTCCATGCTTCATCAACAATTTGCATCTATGTCTGCTGAAACTGGGAAAGCCCCAATGTATTCCTCCTAGCTCATCATCTAGGGTTGCTTTATTTCCCTCTTCGCTCTTCTTCCAATTATGTTATTGATGCAAATGCCAGGGTTTCAAACCCAAAGGCAACAATCATTTACTTTGAAACCTTGGACAGGCACAGTGTTATCAAACCTGGAATGTACAGATGCATCAGTTCATGAGATTCTCCCCAATCCTTTAGGTCAAATGCCATTCTTAATAATGATAGCAGAGAAATCTGGGGTTCAGTACTGGAGATCTGGATCCTGCCTTTGACAGCTAGTTAACAGGGTTTTTAATAAAAATCCAATTGTTGTCCAGTATCTTCTTTTGTAGTCTATCATAGTGTAATTACTTTGGATACTTCCTAAGTTTTGTGCATACAAATTGTAACACAAAGCAGGATTTGAAAATATCAGCTCGTCAAACTGTCTTAATCGCTTAATAAAAATAATACTAATCTTTGCATTTGATTTTGCATCTTATCACGTCTACTAGACATCTCAAAGCGCTTCACAGAATATACTGTAAAGTGAATTGACTGTATATTTGTGGGCGAATCGCGGCAACCAATTGCGCACAGCAGTGTCCCACAATCAGTCAATATGAGTGACCAAATTACCATTATTATAATTTTTTTAAAAAAATTAAAGGATAATTACCCCCGGAAAAGCAATACGCCAATCGGCTAACAACCGGGTTCCTAGTTACTAATAGGTAAACAGAGGCATGTGGAGTAAGGAAACTTGCCCAACATTTCGCCCTGCAGGGATTCAAACCCAGGTCCTTTCGCTTGGGAGGCGAGTGCAATTTGTTCTTAGTTTCATCCGATCAAATTCTCTATTTTCTAAATATTTCACCACTTATATCTGTCCATGCATACTATTTTGTTCATCATTACATGCTAAGTGTAAGTAAATGCATTTTCACTTGAAATGATATCACTTGCAGAATTGACTAAATAATAACTACTCACAGACAAAATCGGTTTGCATTTCTTGGACTTCTCAGTTTTGTCAGCTATTTCATTATTCATTTTGCTCATCTGTGTTTGCCCCAAGACTTCAAGCGAATGAAAGAACAGAGCTGGACTGGCTGTTGGAAAATAAAAGAGATGCTGATTACAAAAAGAATAATAAACAAATCACAGCCCATCATTAAACATTTTTAATACATTAATTATTTAGTTTGCATTAACAGAACACCCTTTTTTTATTTTAATAATAATGTTAAAATTCATTAGTGACTTGTGTGCTCCCTAACATTCCCAGGGTGACAGAAATGTTAGCATCAAGGCTCCAATTAAGTTGACCTTTACACATTAAGAGCAGTCACAGCAGCTCATTGGGATTTATAAGATTGCTGAAAAAATGCTACAGACATGCATTTCAGTCTTTAGTTTACCTCAAGCCAAAATCAAAGCATATACTGTAGCTCTTTCAATAGAGTTACAATAATTTAGCTAAACATCAGGGTTCAATCCCTTTCCTGCTTTTGCAGTTAGTTCAATTTTAAAACACTAAAAGTAGCTTGGTATTTTGTTTAACTGTCTCACTAGTGACAGTAATTTATCACAGCTCTGACACAAGTTTACAACACTTATAACTCACAAACACTGAAATCATAAATCAGTTACCATGGAATGCGTGTACTCTACTGATGAGATATTCCATTTATTCTACAGCTGCAAAGCTCCTGTAGAACCCTATGTCCATTAATATCATGTTTTCTCCTCTCTTTTAAAGTACTAAATCTTGCTGTCATATGGCTCCAAAGGCTCCAGTCACTCACTGGTAACTCACAGAAATGTGCATTTAAAAATATAGGAACATCGGAATAGGAAAAGACACTTCAGGCCATCAAGTCTGTTCCAATTTATTAGATCGCGGAAAATCTTTTAATCTCATTTCTTGGAGACACTGAAGGCAATCTTAGTTTAGCTACTGTATTCTAAACCAAATAAATTAATCCAGCATAGATTTTTGTATTCGAGCAGTATTATTTTTATATACACAGGGTAGTGAGTTTACCAACTGAGCCACTAAAGAACTTCCAAGCACATTTTTAAGCTACACCTTACACAAAGTCAGACATGATAGCACTAATTGCATTCCAATTTTAATTTCAATCTATTCCATTCATCTACATATCATTCTATATTGTGTACATTCTCAGATTTGATCCTTTCTTGTGTTATTAGTGTAGCTTCTGTCTACCTTTTGATTCAGGTGGATGTAAAGGGACTAACTTACCATTGCTAATTCAAAGAAATTTGTGCCCGAAAGATTATATTTCACACCTAATCCAAATTTATCCCTAAACTCAAATTAATTGGAATCATCTCACCGTTGCTTTTCAGAAATTGATGGCACAGATTATCTGCCAATGTTTACTTCCATAAAAATTTTCACTGCAATTCAATCAATTATGTATTTTGTAATGATTGCTTTTTTTTTACTTATTTGTGTATTTATTTTCCTGGCTCATCTGCAGGATTTGAGAGAGATAGTTTGGTTAGCCACTGGGATTGAGTGGGATTCTTCCCACTCGTTTATAATAATAATAATAATCCTTGCATTTGATATAGCGCTTTTCACATCTTCTAGACGTCCCAAAGTGCTTCACAAAATATACTGTAAAGTGAATTAACTGTATATTTGTGGGTGAATGTGGCAGCCAATTGCGCACTGCAGCGTCCCACAAACAGTCATGGATTGAAAATTACCAATTTTTTTTATTATTATTGTTTTTGTTTATCTGTTAACCTTGCAAGCCAAAGCCCTAAAAGGTAGGGCTAGCTGGTCAAGCAGCAAGAAAGCTTACCAGTCAGTGAAATCAATAGCAATTTTAGCTGGATGGACTCCAGCAGCACCCCAATGCACACTCTTGGGTCCCAAACCTTGCCACTTGTCAGTCTCTGCCTGATGCTCTCCGGAATTAGCATCCGTGACAAAACACCTGCAAAAAACTACTCACCCTCATCACACCAATCCTTTCCAGGCTCCACTGACTCCCAATAACCAAACGGATTAAATGCAAGATCCTTTCACTAGTTTTCAAATCCCTTTGTGTCCTCCCACCTCCCTACTCAATCTGCTTACCCCCCAGTCCACCACCCACTGCCTCCACTCGGCTGGCTCCTGTTTGACCCTTGTCCCCTCCGCTCCACCATCAGCGTCCGTGCCTTCAGCCACTACGCTCCAAAATACTGGAACCCCCTCCCTCAAGCCCTCCGCCTTGCCCCCTCCCTCCCCAAATCCTGTGGAAAGACCTTCCTCTTTGATTGTTCTTACGGTCATCCTCTCCCCCTAGCTTGGTCTCCACCACTGTCAAGTGCTCCGGGACGCTACCCACGTAAAGGGCACTATATAACTGCAGTTATTTTTGGTGCATTCCATTCCAATACACGGGAAGCTTCATGTGCGGGTGGCATACATGGGATTCTTATTCTGATTTGAATACTCTTAAGCATGGCGATGGGTTTCCACATGTCAGATAACCCGCTGAGCAATATTTTGTAAAGTGCTTCAAGGTATTTGTACTCGAAAAGTGCTCTCTAAATGCAAGTGATTATTGTAATATTTTAAAACACAAAATACACGTTAAAATGTTTTATTTTGAATAAATGATTGCAGCCTAAATAGTATTGTGTGTTAAAGACAATGTCAAGGACAACACAAGACTATACTGAGCAGACGGTTTCAATCCTGCTCTATACTGAATTAGTTAGCCTGTCTGAATAATATGTGGCCCTCTACAATTGCCCTTAGTGTTCAATCACAGAAGCAAGAACAGCTGGGTTTCTCAATGGTATCTGTGGTTGCCACAACACCCCAAAGATGCAGTAACTGCCAAAACTCGTGGTCCAGTCTCTGCCATACTACTTGTTAATATGCCAGAAGGTGTTCATGGAATTATACCCTAGCATAAGGAGAAAAGCAGGCAACTTTCTTTAGGAGGAGACTCATCAAAGGGAGAAGACTAAAGGATTTTTTTTCAAAAGCAGATCTTTACACAAACTGTGGAATATCAGGCTACTATAACCACAATAATAATAAACAGTGAAATTACTGATAATGTCTCCAGATCATTACAATATTATTACCAATGTATTATTAATAAACCTTGAATGGACTCTTGAACAGTTAATTTAACCGCAGTGCAACAGTTAACAGAACTTGAACATTTCTTTCGAAACGCATATACCACAACTGGATAGAAAAAAAAATAGAATCCTACAAGATTAATTTTATACTGAAAGGGAACAACTATGATGATCATTTTTATGGATGTAAATACAATTTGCTAACATTTTAGAATGGCTAAATAAGCAAGTAAAAACTGAGAACAGCTGTCAGGTACCTGAAAGAGTGTTGTGAAACAAATCTTCTGCAGTCCCTGGAGGTAATTCAGTATTTGTCCCATCATCACTTTGCTTATTGGAAGCAGTTTCATTTTTCTTCTCTTCCTATTATAGGAAAGAAAGTCATTACATTTTTGTCCCTTTCACTTCAAGCAAGTAACATTGCTATTTCTTGCTAAAGTAATAATCAATAGCAGAACGTTAAGTAATCATTTAAAAAAAAAGTTCCTAGCTTACACAACGACCTCAGAAGCAAAGGAACAGCTACCTTGTGTAGCACTAAAGGTATTCACAATTAATTCCTTGTTTTTGCTGAGCTAGCTGATCTCAATCTACTATTGATTTTAGTTCTGCTGAACTTTTGGGATGAAGGGGGTGAAATAAGTTCCATCTCCTACATATTGTGCCCTTATTTGCAACTTGTGGAGTCCTGTAGCTTAGTGGTTAAAGCACTCGCCTCACAAGTGACAGGACCTGGGTTCAATTGCGAGGCAGGGCAAAACATGGGCAAGTTTACTTACTCCACACTCATCTGTTTATCCAGCATAAGTAGGAAATCAGTTGTTATTCGAGTAGCAGATCACTTTTCCAGGAGTTTACGCACTCAGGGGGTCACAGATTTTTTTAAAAAATTGCCATTTTGAGCCCAATCCAGCTAGATACGAATTATGGAGACCATCCGGTAAGCCTCACTCAAATCCCTGTTGTGCTTGCCCAATTTGTGTTGTTCTCCTCACTCTGCTCTTGATTCGTGGAAACCTCCATTCTTTGACCCTGTTCTTAAAGCAATACTTTGATTTCTTCCAGCTAACCCTGCAATGTGAAACTATATTCCCTTTGTTAAGAGATTAATTTCACATCACACAAAAAAGCTAGCATAGCCTCATTTCTCTCACTGTGACTGTAAGAGTAGGAAGGAAGCAATAATGTTTAATAGGAAGCTTCATGATTGGCTGAGTGTGAAAGGTGAATCAAAGTTAAGATGCTTTGCACAGGCTGGAAAACAGGGTAAAAGATATCAGAGAGCCAAGGAGGAAAAGGCCTGTAGACCATATAATGAATACTTGTAATTACATCATAAACGTTGAGTACCAAGCTTCAGCCATTTCTGAATTCAGCTGAATTGTATAGCTGAAGAATAACCTGAAACTAATTGCTAAGTATGCTATTCTCTATCTTTTATATTTTTTTAAAAAAAGAAAAAGTTTTAAAGATTTTCTTACTCTTAAATAGTTGGCCATCCTGAGTGTAATAGAGGTATCAAATAACAGATAAATTACTAACAAAGAACGGAAATGATGAGCACATAGGGTAAAACTGATAAGTGTATATAACCTGAAACTGTGTCACCATTTAATAATAATAATCCTTGCATTTGACATAGAACCTTATCACGTCTTCGAGACATCTCAAAGTGCTTCACAGGATATACTGTAAAGTGAATTGATTGTATATTTTGTGGATGAAATGTGGCAGCCAATTGCTCACAGCATTGTCCCATAAACAGTCGTGAATTGAAGTGACCAATTTATTATTTTTTAAAAAAAAGGAATTATTACCCTCAGAAAAGTGATCCGCCAATCGACTAGCCACCGGGTTGCTACTTACTGATGATTGGAGGCATCAGCAAACAGGCATGTGGAGTAAGGAAACTTGCCCAACATTTCGCCCTGTAGGGAATTGAACCCAGGACTCTCACTTGTGAGGCGAGTGCAGGACTCCACATTTGACGAGCATAATAAAAATGCCACGTTTTATCCTGCAGTATTATTGACAGGAAAGTTACTATACATTATATAAGGACCACTTTATATTACATTAATATGCAGTATGAAATACAATACTCCTGACTATAAAAATTGTGAGCATGATAAGACCTTAGCTAAAATACAATATGAATTTATAGAAGAGTAACTCTGCAAGCCAATTAATCCAGTCCTAATGAAGATAAAGCTGCAGGTACAAATTTAAATTAAATAATTATCAGTCACTTTGTAATTCATCGCATTGACGGTACTCTAAAATATATATTCTACTCACCAACTGTTCTGAGAGTCTGACGACTTGCTTTTGTAGTTTCTGACATTCCTTGTACTTCTCCTTGTAATGTTCAGCTGCCATATGAAGCCTAAGTTTCAGGTCTTCAACCTCCTTATGTAGCTCTTGTTCCACAGTCGTGTTATCCACAGTAGATTGCTAGAAGCCAATTATACAAAATGTTGAATTATTTTTACTATAGATACAAATAGGACAAACATGCAGTTAGCCTGCTAAATCCTTCAGACAAGTCTTTTGGACTGCTATAACTGTACATCTATGCTTGCCTGTTTTACTTTTTTAAAAAATTTTAAAGACATTGAATTTTGCTTTTGAAAGAAATCAGAACTACGTGGATGATTTGTGATGTTACAGTGACATCTTCTTGCAGAGTATTCACAATAAATCTCTTACGCGTTTAATTCCGCAGTATAACGATAATCATTGCATTTGATATAGCGCCTTATCATGTTATTGATACTCCTCGAAGCATTTCACAGGGTATAACGTAAAGTGATGTGATTGTATGTGGTTGTACACATCAGCAAACTTGCACACAATCAATGTCCCACAAACAGCCATGAAGAGAGTGACCAATTTTATTCGGGGAATTGTTGTCCAGGACACCGAGAGAAACTCGCTTCGTTTTTTTTGAATAATGCTATGGAATATTTAACACTTTTATTTCCAGAAAATGAAATACAATAAAACCCAAGCGAGCCAGACTAATGGGGAGGGGGGAGGGGAGATCCAATCTGGCAAGCTAAAATGTCCCGCCAAGAGCCAGCACATGCATGATGGGCCGAATGGCCTCTTTCTGTGTTGTTATATTCTATGATTCTATGAAGTTTAATTACAACGCTAGTTCTGGCATTGTAATTGTTTGAATTCCTTAAGCAGAAGTAGGGAATAAGCTATCTTCTGCCCGCAGGATTCAAACAAAAATATCCCTAGCCTCTGTGAAGGCCAGCAAGGAAGATGAGGCTGCCCAATTCAAAGCTTTTTCTCATAAGAAAGTTGGGTCACGGGAATCGCGGCCAGTGGTAATTTTCTTTAAATATATCCCAAGAAGATGCTCAGTTCCATGCCTGGTTTGTACAAGAACAACAATTTCTCATTTATATAGCGAGTTTCATATTGGTTGCTGTCTCGAAGAGTTTCACAGAATCACATATTAACGACAACATGGGTGAGATATTGGAGACTGGTGTCTATGGAACCGTAAAGCTGTGCAAATCAACCCCTTCAGAGGTTTTTTCCCCCCATTTGGCTCCTTATGGCGGGGGGGGGGGGTGATATTTAGCAACATAAGCAAGACAATCACAATTCACTGCTGGACCGAATGTTTATATATAATAATTACAGACCATTCATTTCTGCATAGCACTAGATTCAACCATTAATTAATAGATCTACAAAATAATTTACTACAAAATCATTCTTTTGTAGTCTTTCAATTTCAGTAGGTTGTACTGGACAAGGAGAAGAATGGGGAAAAGAATGAAATTCAAAGCTATACGCAGGACCGGCAGCAACGTTTGTTTGTCAGAAGGTCTGATTCACTGCGCAATATTAACTCACTGAAAACAAAATTGGATAAATGCCACATATACATTCTGACAAGAAATAGATTATTAGATGCTTTACAAGCATTTTAACTCGTAGTTTGATTATGCAACATAAATACACTTGAAGTTAACACTTTAAGGTAGTATTTCCAATGAATGCTGAAAATATTTCTATACAACTATATGTTTAACATTATTGAATGCTAGAAACAGAAAGTTAGCACAATGAAATTTAAATTATTTTACCACAAACTTGTTTAAAATGGTTTCCAGACTCTAGATAGTTTCTAGAGATCCCTATCTTTGTTTGTGATAATGGTTTCCTGGGACAGGCCACTTTATTACCACATCGTAAAGTGTACAATACTGGATCAAAGGATTCGTTTTCCTAAGAAACGCTCCAGGAGTCAACTATTGGAGGCCAGACCAGCCCGGAGGTATGGTCTGCAAATAAGTTACACTATTTCCAATGCTGGCTTCAATGAATAGTAATGTCAGTCTTGTGATAACAAGAGCTCTGTTAATATGGCAGTTTTTAGTTTGGTTTATACAAATAGAAGCTGTGCTAAATTAGTGTGAGTGCCAACTGAAGTTGGATGTAATTTCAGTTGGGGAGGGAAAAAAGTATAGCTTGCAGGATTTAAACTCCACAACGTACATGTAATTTGATCTCTATTTGTGCAGTTAAATGTTGCTGAATCAAATTAATCTTCTTGCATTTGATTTCAGTGGGAGAAACAGTTCATGCTTTTATTAAAGTTTGGTATTACATTTTGCCCCATTAGATACAAATGCCAGGCCCAAGAATTTCCAGTATTTTTCTGGAAGTACCAGTTGCTAGTTTACTGCACCTGACATATGCTGTCATTTCTCGTCCCAGCAGTATATATATATTATATATGTATATCAAATGCAAAGATTATTATTATTATAATATTTAGTAGCATCAAGAAGATACAATTGTCACTGCTTGTGACAAGGGAGACATTCCAGTCATTTCTGTATTGTGCCACACATCAAGGAACGAGTGTTCAGAATACTTCAACTTTTCCAGTTATATTATCCCTTCAACCTTCATTGTGGAATACTGTTTGTGGAACCTGATTTACAATTGGAGTAGATTTCAGTTGATCAATGGGAAAGAATCATGAGAAACATTGAAAGTTGTTGATGGCAGACTTCAGTTTCAACTAGATTTGAAGATACCAATACCAAAAGGTGTTTAGTGACAGATCTGAACTCAAAAGCCACAACTTACCAATACTTTATTCAGACTGCCAATGACTTGATGTTTCTTTTGCCATTCAACGAAAGGAAGCTGGGCAATCTTTGTTAATTTTTAAATTCAATACTACAAACTGAAGTTATTTTGTAAATGATTTTAAAATCAGGTTATGTAGTCTGAATATACCTGCAATTAAAGTTGAGTATTTAATGAATCCAGGGTGGAAGGGAGGAAGTGATGCATTTCATGGCATAAATGTTCTTTTTTTAACTGCAGTTTCAATTAAAATTTCAATCACGTCATGACTGTTCAGAGCATTGCTGTGTGCCAATTGACTGCCGCATTTATCTATATAGTCAAACTTTACAGTAGATCCTGTGATGCACATCATGTTTCAAGAATGTGAAGACACTATATCAAATCCAAGGCTACCAGTAATTCCAGGAATTTGGGGGGACTGGCATATGTGCCAAATGAGGCAAGATACAATACCAAGGAGCATTATTATAGTGTATTATATTGTTATTGAAGTAGTAATTGGTTGTTGACAATTTTAATCCTCATCTCAAATCATTTAAGCAATTATTGCCACACTTACTTTTTCATTTTTTGATACTGCAGCTTTCAGCAATTGCACATCCAGTTGATATTTACTTTCAGTGTCAGTGAGTTTTGTTTTAAGCACGTCAATTTCCATTCTTGCATTATGCAGGTCACCCATGGCCTTGTCACGAGCATTGGAAACATCACCAAGTTCTTTGGCCATCAGGGTAACTTTCTGTTCACTTGCTTGCAATTGCTCTTCAGCCCTGCGGAGATGTTCTTTGAGAATAGCTACATCCTCCTGAAACAACAGCAGGAATAATAACTAATAAATATAATTATTAAAGGAAGATTCTTGATATTCTCCAATTAACATTTACCATCTATAAGAGTAATCTTAAAATGTAAAAATAAATGTAAATATTGAGATTGGTAAAGTGTCTGATGTGACTATGGTAACTGCCTTGTGTGTATGAGTGTGTGGGGGTATTTGCATGGTAAGAACGATTTCTATGAAAATAGCTTTGATAATGCTTAAAAAGCTCCAGTCAAGAAGCAGCATGGAAAAGACTATTCATGCCAGATAAAGTACCTCAGGACACAAGTGTAGCTCCTATAATAATAATAATAATAATAATAATAAGTGTAGCTCCTGTAGCCCCCATGTGTATCACTTCGACTTACAAGAAGTCTGCTCTGAGGGGTTGAGTGTCAATGTAATGTCTATGGAGCTCCCTTCAGGAGATGCACTTTATGTCCTGAAGTACTTTTTTTTCCTGGTAAAAGGCTCTATTTACACTGCTGTTTCCCTAATGAGTACATCTTCAATCTAAATGTCACTAATTAAATCACACACAAATTGGGTACAAAATGTCCACTTGCAGTCTTGTTAATTTGGGCTGTGAATTTAGTTTGTATTTATCCAGACTTTTATTTCACTCGGACTGCCAGGGAGTTTCAGGCAAGTGCAGCAAAATAATCTTGAGTAATTAATTTCAGTTTATCTTTAATGGATCGGTTCTATTGCCAGCTAGCATATTTTACAAGATTCAGTAAAGTATGATATTGTAATTTATTTCCTACTTTAATATTTCAATATTGTATTGAATTTCTTTTATTTCCTGAATTTTTCACTATTTTATACCTTTTTAAGATCAGTGGAACTTCGTAATTTAAGGTCCCTTAATTTCAGAGTAAATGTACACCATGAGTTTGAGGATTAACGTCATAGGCAAATTACTGTAGTTCAAGCCCCTTTGAATAGCTAACATTTTTAAATTGTGCTGCAAAATAAAAGTTGTCACAACAAAACAATTCTTGAGCAGATAAACTTGCATTCTTTATTCTTATAATCGCATTATGAAATCAACCCTGAACGTAACCATGTGTGCTTTTTTAAAATGCCCCAATTTAGTCAATTTACAGTTTTGTTGTCATCTCTTCTTTTAACCAGTAATACAGTAGTTCTAAGTTCTCCGAGTTTCTGCCCATGTTTCGCCCACAGAATATACAGTAAACCAGTTTACTGTATATTCTGTATATATACAGTATATATAGTTTACTGTGTATATACTGTATATATACCAGTTTACTGTATATCCTGTGAAGCACTATGAGACGTCTCGATGACATGATCAGTTGCTATATCAAATGCCAGGATTATTGTTACATAGTGTGAAGGGTGCTGTATGAATGCAAGTTCTCATACATCCTATAATTCTCATGAAAATGAACAAGGGAATAAGTGAAGCTCTGGTTATTATCCATGGAAGCTCACTAGAACTGCACTGAAGAATGTCAGCGAATGTCATCCTCTTGTTCAAAAATGGGAAATCAGCTTAACATCTGTAATGGAGAAATGCTTGGAAGTATTCTAAAGAATGCTAATACTGTTAATCTAAAAAGCACAGAGGCCACAGACTTAGTGGTTGAGATTTATCCAGTGGATCATTTATTTTCAGAACGTATTTTATAACATTCTATGTGCAGTAACTTGTAAAGAAGGATGAGGACCAATGAATTAATGCAAATTAGTTCGATCAAAAACTCATGTAGCAATAGGAAGCAGAAGGTGATACATGGAAAAAGCTCTCTAGGGTGTAATAAGGGAAGTTCTGTGGGAGTTTGTTCTGGGTACACTGCTGTTCACAGAATTCATAAATTATTTGAATTGCAGTACTTTGTCTAACAACATTTGCTGATATCAACCTAGAATCACAGAATTGTACTACACAGAAGGAAGCCATTCGGTTCATTGTCCCCGTGTCCCAGCCTATGCCCTTTTCCCCATACCCATATCACACAGAATATGTTACAAATATATTGGAAATAAATAGCTTTCAAAGAGATTCATCACCAATTAGCATGTAGCCGTTTTGGCAGATGGACTGATGCAGTTAAATGCAAATAATGCAAATGGCAGAAAAAACAAAAAACATCCACATGCTGAAAACATGAAGAATGAAAAAGATTGAATGTTATTTTAGTCTTTTTCATTCTTCATCTTTCACTCAGTTTCCAAACCATGTTAAGATGTTAACACAGTGAATCAAATCACCACTTCTTCAAAAAGATACTGACGGGTGAAGAGGATTCAATGAATAACTTGGATGATTGAGTGTCAAAGTAAAATCTTTATTGGAGTAAAATGGGGAGGGGAGTAAACATAATCCGGGTCTTTAAAATACTAAAAGACATAGATTATTCGGAAATCTGATTTGAGCTCTGAATCTACAAACAGAAGGCACTAATTATCTAGATTTGGAGTACCCCTGATGGAATAAAGGTGCAGTAAGATGTACAGCCTAGAAATGTTCAGGTTTGATTTCTGGCCTGTGCTGAGTTAGCTGACCTAAGTCAGGCAGCAATTCAAGTGCTACAATTAGTTTAGTGCCCTTTGCTTGGAAGGCAGAAAAATAATCAAGCAGAGGTCCAGGTCCTGATTGCTACATAGTATTCCCTACTGGAAAGTGCACATTTGTGGACTTCAGATGATAATAGGATCTTGCTTATAATGCCCAACAATCACAAATTAGGCTCACAGATGAGGTGTAGGACGATTTCTAGCAAATGTTGAATATGCTGATTTGTAGCCTAGCATATCAGCATATACAACAGATGACGAAGAAGCAGATCAGAAAATTGGCAATACTTGATTTAGCTTTATCAAATATTCCAATTTAGAAGATTTAATTAATTTATTTGAGATTATGTGTAACAATAATCATTTTTGCATTTGATCAAGGCATTGAAAAGTCTCAAAGTGCCTCACCAGATTTACTCTGCAACACTCTCAAAGTAAAATAACATTATTTAATTCATTCCTTGAAAAAGGAGCTTGTTACTATCTGTTTTGGAATGAATTAAGATGCTTCAGTCACATTACAGGCTAAATCGATGTAGGCTATCAGGATAAAACACTTGACATCACATGATGATTCCCATGTCACTGAAGTCAGGAAAGAAAACGAGGAGGGTAAGACAATCCTGAAAATTTGTGCTTTGCTCATCAATTATTATTCTTACCATGTTAGAAGAGTTAAGTAACAGTTCCTTCTGTAGCTTGTCTTTTTCTGATAGACACTGCTGCAGCCTTCCCATCTCTTCCTTGTAATGGGTTAGCATACACTCTTTACCTGCATCTAGATTTTTTAAAGAATGGTTCTCCTTAAGTAGCTTTGTGTTTTCAATCTCCGTATTCTTTGCGTGAATCTGTAAATAATTACAATAAGCATTAAAGTTAAAAAGGGAGCATTCTGTTTGACTGGCTGACCCAATTGAAATATCAAAGGAAGTACCATGCACACATTCCAAGAGAGACTGCATGCAAGGTTGGTTCAAACCAGGTGATAATGACCATAAAGTCAGAATGCACATCTACACTGGAACTGGGAACCTTGAACTGATTAAACAGTTGCCTCATGGCCTCTTTCCTATTTCAACACAGAACTTATGAATTCACATGCATATTTGTATTCACCAGAATACAAAGTACATTAGCATTAAATTTACATCAACTGTGACATGCAGGTTGCAATTATTTCTCTGCTTTAACCTGAGATTTATGCAGAGCCTTCCTTTCTGTCAACAAGATGATAATGATGGGAGATTAGGGTTTCTATGCACAGTAACGTACCCTGAGTGACTATAAATGATGATATATAAGAGGGAAAAGGGCCCAAGTCTGAAGGCAATAGATTTTATTGAGATGGAGGAATTGCATACTTTTCATTGACTGAAATTTCTTAAATCCACAGACATCCAGGCTCGACTACGCAAACTCCATGCCTATCAGCCTCCCCAGCTCCACACTCCATGGATTACAGATCATCCAGAATTCTGCAATCCGTATCCTCGGCTGCACTAGGCTCTGTAGCCCTATCACCCACGTCCTCGCCCGACTCCACTGGCTCCCCATCACTAAAGAGGATACTGTTCAAGATCCTGGCCCTCACTTTCAAAGCCCTCCATGGCCTTGCTCCCCCTACCTCTGTGCCCCCTAACCCACTACCGATTTGTCCACTCCCTCCGGCCTGCTTCATGTTCCCCGCCTTGCCTGCCCCTCCATTAGCAGGCAGGCCTTCAGTCTCTCTGCCCCACCCTCTGGAACTCGATTCCACAATCCCTCTGCCTCACCCCCTCCCATGCCTCCTTCAAGACTAGTTAAGACCCTCCTCTTCGACCATGCCTTCGGTCACCCTCCTACCCCTACCCTCCCCGCACTCCACTCTTCCTGATCCCAACCACCAACTTGGGTCCAGATCCCTGACTGTCCTGCGTCTTGATACATCCTCCTGACGTGAAATGTGCTATAAAAATGTAATTTGTTGCTTGTTGAGACGGACGAATTGCATAACTTTCATTGACTGGGAAATTTCTTAAATCCATTCATAAACAATTTTTGTTGGTTTCGGATGCCCCATTTGCTATTACACGGTTTGACGAATCCTCAGACGAGACCAGTGGAACAAAAGGTGCATTAGGTGTCTCGTAACCGGATTTGTGCAAAGTGTACTGGAAGCCCAGATATTATTGGAGCAGATTTACTTTATGATGAAAGCAAAATGGAATATGGTTAAATAATGTGATACAGGTTATTAATTCCTCCATAACCTGGTCAGTTTTCCTAAGGCTTCAAGTTCTACTGCAAACGCCAACCTGGTCTTTGCTAAATACTATGGATAATTTTTAGCCGACCTGCACAGAAGAGGCTCCCTGATAAGGTGCATGTTGAAATGCAAATCACCTTATTTGGTACACCTGATTTGAAGATTCAACAAATTGAAGAATCCTAGGTTTGTGGGAAGCAATACTTGCTTTTGCAATATCGCAGGTGCGACAACACGTGACCGGCCTATCATGTTTAAACAGTGGCCCATAGTGTGTGAGGGAGGATCAAGAGGGTGAAGATGGGTAATGGGCGGAAATTCTCACTCCAACTCAAATTAATAGTATTGGTGAATGAATCGGTTCAAATGTCGAGTGAATTCAGTATTGACAGTCCAAATCTCTGATTGTCCAGCTCCTTGGGATGTCCTCCCAATGTGAAAGGCGCTACACAAATGTAATTTTGTATTGTATTCAAAATGTATAGAATCAGCAGCTGGGAAGTGCCAAACCACTTTGGTGAATTTAAATCTCATTTGAGGTTTCTTGTCTGTCCAGAACAAGCAATGATCTGTCAAACTTCTTGGATTTTGTTTAAATGTAGATCAAGGGCATTTAACAAAGCAACCTCATTTTTATAGGGCTGGCCCTTTCCAGTAGCATCAATAACAGTCTTCCAGTGGGCAAGTTCCCACAGAGGAAAGGTTAGGTCTGCATAGTGAGTTATGTTGTTGGTATTCTGCATGGACAAGAATCTGAAACGTTTCATGTTGAAAGTAGAAAAAGGGGAGGCCAATAATGATTTGCTTAATATAGCTTTGGATGTCTTCCTTTGTAGAATTGTTTCCTCATGTATGCAAAGCTTAATAAAAGTCTCAAACGCCAGCTTAATACAAATATGGCTAAATATCAGAGATACATACCAGAGGCATTCTGGAGGCATATTGCTGGACTGCTCCACTAGCTAGCTGTTTTCAGAGTCAAACAGTGACCATTTTGATAAGGGGGTAATTTGAAATAATATACTAGCTGTATTTCTGAAGTGTTTTTTTATTAGTCCCACTTTCCAGCTCTCTCCCTCTATCCCTTAATGTTTCACTGCTCAAGAGCTTACTTTAGTTCCATCTTTTCAGGCACAAATATGTGAAGTCTAGGAAACCGGAAAGTTGTTAAGATGATACCTTATAAAGCTCTTTCTCATCCTTTTCATTCTTTAGTTGCAATTCTAATTGTTCTTTTTCAGCAGTTAGTTTCCTCAGTTTGTGCTTTATGCTGGAAGAACAAAAGTTAATCCATAAAAAATCAATTTTACAAGTGAACTATTGAATATTGAAAATGCATAGCACTTCACACTTTTTTTCTTTTTTGTGTTCTGTTAACTGGAAGAGCTGTTAACTGGAAGAGTTAAAAAGAAAAATCACAGCTACTAAATGCTTACCAAGAATTTTCCACTTTTTTAACAATTTTTTTGCTTCCTTTCGTCACCTCATTTTATTCTTTATTATTTATTATTGTTGAATTATGTGCTTTAAGGTTTTCATGCATTTTTCTGTATTTTCCAATTGTCTTTGTTCTGAAAATGTTTTGCTGTTTTGTTAGTGTTACTCTTGTTTCATTCTACACTGCTTGGTGCCCATTTAATTTGATTTTATTTACCTTCTATCCTCAGTGCGGTTAAAAATGATCTCTGCAATACATCAGAGCCCAGCAAAAACTAGCAATAGCAGCAAGAAAGATTACTTCTGCTTCTAGGCACTTCAAAACCACTGCAAGAATCATTACATGCCTTTGGTTCAAAATGGCCTTGTTAGAAATGTAGGCTGGCGACAAAAAAGCAGAGGCAGGGGGTAGATAGAAAAAAAGGCATTAAAACAATATTCGTGGCACAAAATGATACATTGGAGTTTTATAGATCCCTAAAAATAAGGCATTTCCAAAGACTCAGGAACCCAGGAGGAAATGACAGCTATTTAAATGCCCTTTCCCTACCTGTCCAATTCAGTTTCCTTTCCAATGGCATTTTGATTGGCAAACACTATGTCTTTTTCAAGTTGAATAATTTTTGCCACAGCTTCCTCATACTTTTTCTCAATGTCTTCTTTCTGGATTTCCATTGCTTCTGAATTCTGGAAGAGATCCTAGTGAACCGAAATAAACGTTATTGGAAATCAAAAGGCAATTTTGCTTCTGCAAACAACAACAAATTTACATTTATACAACGCCTTTCACATCTTGAGGATGGCCCACGGTGCTGGGAGATCCAAGGTCTGCACCTGAGCTGGGGATAGAAGCTGAAAGCAATGGGGGCCAAGGAGGATCGAAGTACTGGAAGAAAGACGACCAAAGGTGTAGTCAAAGAGGAAGGTTGTATGACGGACCTTGAAGAAGGTGAGTGAGGGCCAAAGAGTAAGAGAGATGGGATGACCACTCATGGCAAAGCAGGGGACAAATCAATAGATAGCAAGACAATAAATAACTCATAATTTTGAACTTCAGCAACACTTAAGTGTTTTCATTTTAACTGCTTCTTTCATACACACTTAGGTACACATACAAAATATATAATAAATACCAAAACAGCCGAACTGGAATTTATGTAAAAACTTTCCTTATAGCTCTGGGTTTAAAACCCAATGTGTAGCACAAAAGCTTAGTTGTGCATTTAGGTATAGTTAAAATAACCTCAAAACTTTTAATAGCTACAAAATGTTTTTTTTTAAAGTTTTCTAAAGACCCCTCCGATACACTCATAAGATGCCTAAACAACACATTCTTCCTAATGTTCAAAAATTTGAAAACAAATTATTGGATGCAAAATTGAATCTGCCAACAAAAAACTGTTTTAAGAAACAAAATGCCCTGAGAAAGGTTTCCATGTGCAGAATCAGAACCATTTACTGCTTAGCACATTGGGGCTCTACATTTTGTTTCACATCACCTATGAAAGAAAAAACATAATTCTTTTGTCTTTAATTAATTACATTCCAGGGTCTAAAGGGTGTCTCCGTTTGTTGTAATTTTCTTCATTCTCTGGCTGCATGTCTTTGATTCTCCCCATCTATCTGAAATGCTTCCCAATTATTTTTCCCTACTTTTCTTCCATAGTGGAGGAGCAGGTCAAGGGATACTCGTTGAGAGAAGGCGAAGTGTGATGCCAGGCTTCCTCACTTTGTGAAATTGTTCTCTCATCATTAAAGAGAATAAGGGAGCAATAGATCTACCCTGCAAATTAGCCAGTAATTTAAGTGAGCCAAATGCCTTCTCACTATAATTCTAATTTTAACTGCAGGCTTGTTGCCCATCATTCTCTCATATGCTTCATGGATTCAGAAATATGAGACAGAGCTAAACAGCTCTAAACCCCCCAACTATACCTCTCCTTTCCCACAGAGAGGTTGTTAGCCTCTGCTCAGCAAATTAGCATGCTGGCACACTGTGATCAGCAGTTTCCTGCATGGGGAAATCAAAAGCATTTCTACATACCACCATACAGCATCTTGTTGAAACAGTTATGAGAATTTGCTTTCAAGTAAAATGTTGCATGTGATTATAAGATCTGGCAGAAAATAAAATTACAGTAAAACTAGCATAAGTCTTATCTTTATAAATCATATAAATGCCTAAGTCATGCATTCATCTAAGTCCTATTCAGTTTCCTATCAAAACCACTTAGTTTTCTTTGCACTAATTGTATTAATCACCTCCTAACTCGTAATGCTGCTCTCCTACCTTCCATTACTCCTGCACTTACTGGCCAACTGCATTGAATCACTGTAAACGAAGAACTTAATTTCCCGTGATTCCAATGCTTGCCAGTAAGTGCGAATGCGGCGACGAGTCAAGACACACTGAATCGCGAGAAATGTAGTCTTGATTTGCCACTTCATGCGCACTTACCAGCTGCAGTGACAAACTACCACATGTGCACTTACCAGTTGTATTGTATTGAATTACGCATGCCAATTAATGTAGGTTACCAATTAAATTGGAGTTTGTACAAATTATAAGTTTGCAAGTTACTTGGACTTCACGCAAGTCATATCAAATGTCATGGTCTGGACTGATAAGACTTATGTGAGTTTTACTATAGAGAATAAATAATCAGCTCAATAGCATGCTTGCTTATTTTATCTTAAGAAACTCTAAGGAGGTCAAACTCGAGTAATGGAGCTAGAAAAAACACTAACATTGTATAAACAATACGTTTAGGTGTTATTCAAACAGTAACTGGCTTCAATAATAATGTTGTAATCACATTATCAGCCATTCTTCCTCCCTGTGGAGGAGTTGGAGATAAACAAAAATACACAAGCAAAAAAAAGCCATATAAAGTGCAACATCATTTCATTCCTCCTCAAAAAAATCTTTAAGCCGGCAAATTAAAATTATAACGTTTTCACTGCTTTCCCTGGAACCCACAAAGCAAATGGCAGCTTGTTGAAATGCACAGTATAATATTTTATTTTGAAAATTTAAGAAATTACTTATTTTAGTAGAAGCATAAAACCATCTCAATGTAGGTTACATATAAGCTGTAGTAAATGGCAAGTTAATGGATTTTTGTTTAAAACAAGCTTATTCTAGGGCTCTACAATTGGCCTTTCGTGACCCTTGACTTGGTAAGAGGTAAAAAAAAGGCAGAGCTCCCACTCAAGATTGCTATCTGACGTCAGATAAGAACAGAATTGTCTCCCTCCAAGGTCTAACAGCCTGTTGATGTTCACTGTCCAGGCTAACACACAAAAAAGCACAAGTTGGATTCAGTACCGGGATGGCGTATACTTGTGAAACCAAGAGTGAGCAACTTTAAGAGTGGAGGAAAAATTGGCAAATATTCAACAATAAACAAAATACCTAATATTTTGGACAAACAGTTTACTCACTAATAAATCAATATTGTACCAAAGTTATCAAATTACAGCTTGAAAAACAAAACAAATTTACTGTGAATTTGCAAAAAAAGGTATTGTGGTTCAGACTGAGAATAATTTCACCAGTATGATTCAGATTTTTTTTCTGACATTTGATCTGATATAGTATTTTAAAGGTATAGGTGTAAAATATTAAATGTACAAGAGTGGTAAAAGTATCACTTAAAAACATTATAGCAATAAATTTAAATTTATATACATATAACAGAATTCTTTTCTTTAAATTATTTCAAAGGCAGCCAGGGAATTATATACAATGTTGCTTGACACCACAAGTGCCATTAAAAAGGATACATCATCTGTATAACATATTTACAACTGTGAAGCTGTATGCCCATCAGGAATGTGCCCTTGGATCACAAGCTGTGAAAATGATCCGAACTCTTTTGCATTTCTGGCACATCTACGAAAAAAATCTTTTTCACCTGTGTCTAGCTGCTTTGAGCATTGGCTCAAATTTACAGCAGGAGACAGCAGCCAATACTGCCAGCATGACATTTCAAGAACTTTGCAGGGTTGATGTGGCCATTTTCTGAGAGCCTGCTTTTCTGCCCTTCCCTGGAGCTCAGCTGAAATATTGGCCTTGTTAACTCTGATGAATCACAGAGTGTCAGAGGGAGATGAAAGGTTGCAACTGCTGTATTAGGTAAGTTGACCCAAGATTTTAAAACCTGTCCTCAACTGACAGAAATTTTACTCTAACCTCCAATTACATGTCAAATAAATACAAGTAACTGTACTGTTAGTCAAAAAAAACATTAGGTACATTCAAGCAGGCTTGATAAATTCAGATTAAAACATTCCAAATGAAACCATATTTTGTCAAATGTAAAAACCAGTATAATTTAGGGTTGGTGCCGTTTACCTACCTTGTTTATTCTTTAACCTGAAGGGATTCACACAAAACCTAGCTATTCCAGTGACACTGAAGATCACTCCACGCAAGTTCTTGCAGCTAAACACTTCACTCACATGTCGTGCTCCCGGCAAAAACTTGCCATTATGCATATTTAATTATGGAGACCATAAAACTAGTCATCAGACAAAAAAGGCATTTTTTGAATTACAGCACCACTGAACCTTTAAACAGAAAACTAACCAGACAGTTTACTTTTGACAATTTTTCCTCTCTCAAAAAGCAGGTTCTTGCTGGGATTATGTTTAACTTGCACTCTTCTGGTATCTCATCTCAAAGTGGTCATTGTTCACTGCAGAGGGCAGGTTAATCAACTACGGAAAGCATCAATGTCTCTCTCCTTTGGCAATTTTCAATAGGAATGAATTTGCAGCTCAGTGTCATTCACATCTCATAATATTTCTCCCTTTTTCCCCACTTTCCCCTTTTTTCTCACACCTTTAGTGCTGAACATAATGCAACCATGCTGGAACTACATGGAACCACATTCACTTGAAAATGGTATTAAGGAGCTGGTTACACAATGAGTCTGAATTGATTTTCACTGTCTGTATTTATGCAGTGCTATAACGGTTGGAATCTATGTGCTACCAAAAAACCTTCTCAAAGTGTTTTTGGCAGCTGGCGTCTAGTGTGATTAGCTTTCAGACAGCAATGCAGGTCCCTGAATTATATTAGAGTTGTACTATGATTTGCAGTGAAAAGTATAAACATATGCAAACTAGGCAGAAAAACAAATTTTGATTCATCTAAGGGATGGAACCATTAAAGTAACTGTTGTTAAAATAATTAATTGATGTCATTAGATTATAAACAAAGTATATATAATTGTGTGCCTCACTTAATTTTAATGCATTTCTTTCCACCTTTCAACTGGTCCCTCTCCTTTCCATTACAAACAATAACCTAGTTATAAAGCTCTTTAGCATAATTAAGGAGAACTTCAAATACTCAAACTTAAAACACCATAGAGTAGAATGACTTTTATCCTTTTTATTTACTAAGCAGAGTATCGGTGCCATTCCTATTCTGTGGTTTAACATGGCGTTTTTTTCCAGGCCAACAATCTTGATTAATTGGTCATTCACTCCATTTGCCTACAAGAGCAATAACACTCGATAATAATTACCTGTGAAGTGCTTTGAGATATTTCATCATGATTTGGTGCTATAAAAATTAAAGTTCTTTCTGCATGAATTGATTTTACAAGATACAGTCAAACCTGTCTTCAACAACCTCTCAGGGGACAGGACCAAAGTGACTTTTATATAAGGGTGGACTCTGAGTAAGGGTTCATTAATGTGCAAACAATGACTTGTACTTATATACCCACCCCCCCGCGAAATAGTGTCCCAGAGCGCTTAACAGTGGTGGAGCCTGACTCTGAGCTGAGTGGGGGGGGTGGTGGGAGTGTGAGGATCTTGAAGTCGATCCATTCGGTGGTGGGGAGCAGGTAGAGCCTGGGCAGAACTGGTGAGATGTGGTTACGGAGTTTGGTCCGGATAAGTATGCGGGCGGAAGAGTTTTGAATGAGCTTGATTTTTTAAATAATGGAGATGGGGAGACCGGTGAGAAGTGCGTTTGAGTAATCCAGGCGGGAGGTGATAATCATATGCACGAATGCAAACTGGACTGTCCAGGCTGTTCCAGGGTGGTTTTTAGCAGGGTGGGTGCTTGAAAAGGTTTGACTGTATTTTGGTCATATGCAGTTTTCTTTATATATTGATGCAAACTTGTAAATTAACTTATAACCTTTACACTAGAAAGACTGAAACTTATGCCACAAAAATAAATTTCCTATTGAATATGCAAGTACTGCAGTCCAGTAGTAAATACAGACAGCTCAAAGCTTAATTAGAAATGATAACAACAATCATAATCCTTGCATCTTTTCAGGTCATTCAGATGTCTCTAAGCGCTTCACAGAATATATCGTAATGTGTATTTCGTGGGTGAAACGCGGGAGCCAGTTGCGCACAGCAGTGTCCCACAAATAGTAACATTTATTTATATGAAACCCACTGTTGGGAGATCTGTGCAAATCACTGAGAATTCATACCTTGTATTCCTTTTTGATTTGCTCACACATTTCCTTCTCTTGAAAAATTTCCTTTTCAAGTTTCTCAAGGCATCCACATAATTGGGTAGTTTCCTGTTCAAGTCCAGATTTGACGTTCATCAGCTCTTCCTTTTCTTTCAGCAGCATTTCAATCTTTCTCTATAAAAAGAGCAACACATTGTATCAACTTTTATTTTTAATTTCTAATCCATTTATTTATAATTCAATATTCTAAACCATAGCCATTATAAATTAATTGCAGACTTTTTACAATTTTGTTTACTCAAGTATTACACATGCGCAAAACCCATCACCATGCTTAAGAATGTCCAAATATTGAGAGTTCCAAGACTGGAAACTACACTGGAAACTCCTGTGTTTGGAATACAGCAAGTACTCCCTCCCTGGAGAGACTCATCCTGTTTATCTCAATCTGGAGAGGATTAGGTGCCCGTCGGCAAAAGCCAAGACCTGGGGACCCCAGAGTGGTGTTGGGGTATAGCTGGAGTTTAATCAGCTAAAACCACATAGATCACCTTTGAAAGCAATGTCTGGCAAGTTTCCTGTTGCTTGTTCAGCTAGGAACACCCATTAGGGCTTGGGGAAGAATCCCTACTATTATAACAACAATAATACTTGCATTTGATATAGCACCTTATCACATCATTGAGGCATCTCAAAGTGCTTCACAGAATATATTGTAAAGTGAATTGACTGTATAGTTTTGGGGTGATAGGCTGGGCCAATGGAAAAGTGCAGAAATGTTATTTGGAAAATTGTGAAGAAATTTGGTGAGTTTTGCGGAAACTTGCGGAGTGTTGAAGAATTGGAAACATCTTGGGTGTCATATCTGATTACAGGCATATGGCATTGGACCTTTAGCTTATACATAAAGGTTTTGACTGTTTTTTGACTGTTAGTTAGTGGGATACCAACCTGAGTATTTGTTGGTAACAAGTCAGTACTTCACTCACAGGTAGTCAAAAGTTGTGATTCAGAAGTGCAATGCCATGGGCCTGATTTCATATATATCTCCATTGAGAACAATGAGGGAATGGGTGGGAGAAGGCACAATTCCTATTGCTAAACTGACCTCAGTATCGACCTGTAATCTCCACCCTGTGGGATAATGGAAATATATTCTTTTTTTAAAAAAATCAAGATGGCCTAATGAGGAGGAAAAGTACTATCCCTCTGCTGAATTGGGATGAAATGACTAAGAACAAGTACTTAATGTGATCTGCAGTTTTGAGAAGGAGCTACTGTAGCTATTTTGATAAATACAATACTTTGCTTATTTTGGTTTATTCCTTAAAAGCCAAGTAGTTTTCTATTCCAATAAGCTGTGAACTACAGTGAATGTCTAATAACACATTGTCCAGTATAATTTGAAAAAGTTAGAAACCAAATTCCAGTAACTGTTATAGTGGGATAAAGAGAGAAAGATATTTTGTGAGATTTTTGGATAAATTTTAGCACATAAATAAATACTTTACAATAATGGTTTGTGACAGACCAGTCGTAGCATTTAGCCACTACAAAGAGTGGGGTGTATATTTAATTTGTAGAAAACAATTGCTAAGAACCTGAGCATGAAAATATATTATAGTCGAAGTTTTGTTGCAAGTCAACTGAATGGTTCATTAGCGGAAACAAAAAAGGTCCCAAAGGGCTCATTAAAATCCAACATTTATTCCAGCATGACTCTTCGGAGCTGAATTGAGATCAAATGAGATGCTTAGAATATGTGGGAGTGACACACAAATGCATTAGCCACCCATTCACACATTTCTATTACATTATAAGCTTGTAGTTGGGGGGGGGGGGGGGGTCACCACATGTCAACCTGCCCTTTAGCAGGATGTGATCAAGAGTGGTCTGATTTCTACATTGGGATGTCACGAATCACATAAGCAGAGATTCACTGCCCAGACACAGGAAGTCGGATGGCATTTTATGCTTGAAATCAAATTGTCATATTTCAAAACTAGTCATTGCACTTCAAATCTAAACTATCATTTAAATTAGTATCTAAACTAATCAAATTATAGCACTATTGTCTTTTTCTCAAAGCAAAAACCATTACAACAGTAGTATTGAGTTAACAAAAGGGTCATCTTGAAAACTGAAAATGCACGTGAGAGCCAGCATGAAAGCAAATTAATCAAGGTTCAGAATTAGAATTAACTACAACAAAATCTAATAATCTCAAACAATAATAGTGTAACACAAGAAGTGAATGGTTTCTCAATGAATTACACTTCCCATGCATCTCAAAACTGATTCTCCCAAATTCACTATTTGGGTCAATCAACAAATTAAAACCTTAATCAACATTCAACTATTGCAATCTTGAAACTGATATAATGTTAAGAAAAACACAGCTATTGCTATGGTATAATCTTGAAACAGAAATATTCTTTATACATTTGAGTGACATTTCTCATAGGTCCCAAATGATTCTAAGATCATCTAAAATTATGCAAAGCTTATGTACTACATGTGTGCATTTCCAAGAATCAGAATGCTTGCAACCTACAAACATAAATCTTGTTGATTCATTCTCATATTTTGAACGTTCATCATTAAATGTTCTTGAATTACCCTACCTCAAGAAGACTAGTTTTTGTCGTCACCACCAGCATGTCCAAGTTTGCATCATCTTCCATGGTAAGAAGGTCATCTGTAGGAGATGGAGCACGGAACTGAAATGGTGTGCTTGCTCCCCGGATTTCTCCCTTGTGTGTCACATAGCAGAACTGATAAAATTCTCCATCGTCATTTGGAAGATAGTAGCCTGTTATGAAACATCTTAGTTTTACTATTGTGCTCAATAATAATTTGATTGTAAACTTTCACAGGTTGAAATAAAAAATTGATGAACAATGTAAATTTACAAAGTACTTAGTCCAAATACAATACAATTTACATTAATGTAGCACCTTTTATATCGGGAGAACGTCTCAAAGCGTTTAATACCACTGGCTGGGCACCCGAGTTGAGCGATGGAGACTGAAGAAATGGGAAGGGGAGTGAGTCAGAAGGTCTATGGGATGGAGTTCTAGAGAGTGGGGCAGAATACTTTTTGAAACTGGCCTGCCATTGCTGCTATGGTGAGGGACATGAAGCAATGAGCAAATGGAGGCAGGCGGCGGGGAGGGGGGTGAAAGGGCATAGGAAGAAAAAAAATGTTTGTTTCATTTACACCTGCGACAAATCACAAGAGAATTTAGATTTGCCAGGAATAAGTTGAATCCACGTCCATAATATGTACTACGCAAAGTCGACAGACTGAAATGAACAGATCTGAGATGTTAAATTTAAAGATTGGAAGGAGAAAATGTCATCCTTTAGCACTCTTCTGTGTCAAATTGGGACTGAGTTGTTGGAGGTCATTCCTGTTGACTGCACAATCTCCAATACTTCTACCACTGGAGGTCAACTGGAAAGATGTTCCCATCTCAGTGAAACCTAAACGAGTTGAGTGGAAAAGGTGAAACAAATTTGCATTCTATCTTTTATTCACTCTGACACTAACTAGTCATAGCAACTTTTTTCAGGTTATAGTGACTGGAATAGTGCACCTTTTGAACACTGAATTGGGCAGATTAAAAACAGATCTACACAGTAACACAAAGGAACAATTAGGTTATATTCTGATCAATCCATTTCTCAAGGGGCTTGCTATCAGATTCAGAAAAATATATTCCAGAAATTCTTTCCCAGAACAAAAAAATAATTGTAATCAGATAAATAATTAATGGCAATTTATCTTACACAATTTCTGGCATCCTTTTCTGTATTGATTACATGAAAAGTTATGTGTTGTATTTGGGTGAATTTGAATTATCACATAATATTTCCAATAAAAGGCCTTTCACCTCATTGAACCCACTCCTTCCAATGGAACAAGTTACACTGTTTCAGTATAACTTAACTATACCCACACTGACGTTACTGCAAACTTCTTTAAGACACTGGTACATTTCTAACTAGAACCCCCTTATTCATTAAACTTGCAGAGGGATCTGTGTACAAGTCAAAAGAATTACATCCTGCCAGTGACAGATGTACTCTTCAAAATCTTCAATGGTGCTCTGTAGCCCTGGAAACCTGCCTAGTTCAGATACTGCATAACCAAATCCACCACAGAGGAATGACTCGGCACCGCCTTCTCTTAGCCAGGATGCCACTGTGGGGACAGCTGAACCTCAATGAGACCCCGCTTTCCTCTTTCTCTCCTCCTCCCCCCCCGTCCTCCATAAAGGTCAGACACGAAGAGCTACAATTTTTAAAAACATTTAATATTTTTATTATTTGTCAAATTTTCTCCCGTTAGACAAAGTGTGACATCCAGCATTTGCTCCAATTGGCCTTATAAAAAGTCTAAGGAATCCACCAGGAACACAGTCTAAATTTCTCTAAAGTTTGTATTGGACCAGTAACTTACAAAATAAACAATTTCCATTTCTGATATTTGTCAAAAAACACACAGGAGAATGTTTTCAGTTAAAGGGTAATGGGCATGTGGAACAAATTACCAGTTCAGGTGGTGGAGCATGGAACTTTAAAAGGGTTTAAAAATGTGTCGAACCAAGTTTCGGGACAGTGAAAGGATTCAGGGTTACTATGAGGAGATAGATGTGAAGCAATTATTTGAAATGTTTGCTGAATAGAAAATGGACCAATGGTCCACTCCTCCCCAAAACTTTCATTACACAAACATACATTTTTGGAGTTTTCTTACCTTGAAAAACAACCATACGATTAACTGAAGTTCCTTCTGCATAATTTTCAGGTACCTGAGACCACAGAAACGTATAATAATCACGAGCAGTGCTCCAGCCAACCTATCGACAAATAGAATTGAAAATAAATGAAGTGCTCCTATTTTGCCAGGTTTCAAATATTGAAGCTTTAAACATGTATAGTTTACTACCAAGGTACAATTTGCACAGAGTAGTTTGCTGATTGATTATTCCACTTACGACTGTACAATCAACATAAGAGTCTTCTAAAGAAATTAACATAAATCACATCTATTTGCCAAGGTCCCCCGCATGAGAAACTGGATTAAGCAGCTGGTGCTGAGTAAGTCTGACACACACATTGGGCTTGGACCCCGAGAACATCAATGTGGCTGGCACAAGCTGTTCTGTAAAGATACTCCCACCATGTTGAAGACAGATGTATGCCAGATAGCTGATGAGGAAACTCTGAGGCCTGGGGCAACAGCAGCTGGAATGTGTTCGTGAACACACATTCGTACATCCAGCACCTGGAATCTCCCTTGATTGCCTGGCAGAGCGGGAAGCTGCAACTTAAACTCCACACCTCCAAATGGTGGAACCATCACTCAATGGAAAGGGTGGTATGTCCAAGCTGCGGACAGGAAGATGGTGGCAATGCTCTCACACATTTCATGATGAACTGTGTATCCCACCAAGAAGCTTGCAGGAAGTTCCTGGTACCTACCATCCACCTAGTGAGGCTCAAACTCACACTTGTCAGATGTCAAACAACCAACTAGTGACTATCCTCCTTGGAGGGAAGCAAGCGCGGTCTCCTTGGAGCTGAAATGACTCCAAGGTGACATGTTTGGCAACATGGTTGCTGGTCCTAGCTGGACAAGCAGCGGGAAAGCTTACCAGACTATGCTATCATTATGCGGTCAGATTGCAACAGTACCCCAATGCACACTCTGGGGTCCCCAAGCCTTGGCTCCTGTCAACCTGCACCTAATAGGTAAATAGGAGAGTGTACATTCCATTCCAACAATTTATCTCTGGAATTTCCATGTGTAGGTGGGATGCACAGAATTCTCAGTTTGGTTTGGATACTCTTAAACTTGGGATGGGTTTGCACATGTGTCAGCTGACCAAAACAAAAATATATTAATCAATAAAAAACAAAATTATTTGAAACAAAATAATCCATGCACTTGTATATCAACATTTTATCATTTATATAATTAATATAATTTAATATTACAAGTATACATTCAAACATTATGTCCAGGTAAAGCAAATGGAAAGTTATATTAATTCACCCTGGCCTACATTTTCACCATTTATTGTATTCATAATTTTAAATTACATTTTTAATGTAATTTAATCGAATTGACTCATACAGGTATATTACAATCAACATAGGTTCCCTTTGCTGCACATCTGGGATAAACCCTCCCTCATTTTTGTTTGCTTTATATATGTACATTCACTTTTCACATTCTCTACCAATGCATATCATTGTTCAGTACACTTGTTCTTATTTCTGTATAATAATCCTTGCATTGCATGTCTTCGAGACATCTCAAAGCGCTTCACAGATATTCCGTAAAGTGGATTGACTTAATTTTTTGTGAGCAAAATATCCTGCATTACTAACCTCCTCCACTGTTGTGGATATGTCCCATTACCCACTTAATTAGTTTCTACCTTTTGAAAGGGCACACCTGAAGTTCATTATTTTTTTAAAAAATCTACCTGCTTCTAATCATGGATCATACACCATTCCAAATCTTAAAAGATTCCTGGAGGCAATGTTTTGCTGCCTGAGATTGTCTGTAAATTCACATGTTAGTCAAATCACAATTCCAATCATCTAGGTTAGAGATTTTCTGTTTTTTCTCGTTTATTATTATTACACATCTTTTCACATCTTCTAGATATCTCAAAGTGCTTCACAGAATATACTGTAAAGTGAATTGACTGTATATTTGTGGGCGAAAGCGGCAGCCAATTGCGCACAGCAGTGACGCACGAATAGTCGTGGATTGACGTAACCAATTTATTATTGTTTTTTTCTTGAGGGATTATTATCAGGCGTGTGGAGTAAGGAAACTTGCACAAGGTTTTGCCCTGCCGGGAATCAAACTCAGGTCTCTCGCTTGCGAGGCGAGAGCCCTAACCACTGAGCTACAGGACTCCATTAAAGGTCATAGCTTGATACTAACACAGAGAAGTATTTTTCCAGAGGGCATAGCTTAATGAATAAAGTTAACCTGCTTGTGAGAGAAGTTTTATAGTCTGCTCATGCATTTCACAGTCTTCAATGACAAAAGTACTATGTGGAGATATTCCCAAAGTAAAAGGTCACATAACCAAATGCTCTCTCTAAACTTAGCTGGTGGTTCCATGCTTCCTATTTTATTTGCCTGAGTTTTAGGTTTGTACTTCTATTTCTACACTTTCATGTTTTATTGCACCTTCTGGTGACTTAGAACTCTGCTAAATAAAATCTAGACAGAGGCTAAAGGGCAAATCCTTTATGCTAATCTACAGCATCAAACTGGACATTTCTAGGAAAAGTTAATCACATCCTACAACTTCTGCACACGAGTTGAAAGTGTAGAGTCAAACTCAAATGCCCACTGCACTGCCAATGATACTGTGAACCTTTTTTCTATCATTAGCAGTTGAGAGACTATGCAACATTGAGCACAACATCATAAATTCAACGGTGCTACAAGAAGGTTGTTGAATAGTAGCTGCCTGTTCACATTATTGTTAAAAAATGTTACAGGACTGTATTTCTTATGCACTGTATCAAGACATCAACTGTCTCCTGCAAGAAATTATAATCTTCCAATTTAAATAATTCTACCTTTCTAATATTATAAATATCTAAGAAAAACTGCTCTTTTTAGTCAAATTTTTTCCAATTCTTTCATTTTTACCTCCAGATATGGGATTCTGCTCACTTCTGTTTACCAGTGGCAGAGATGTATGCCCTACTATATCCTGTGTACATGATGGGGGATCGTTTCACTGTCTTTTAAGATCTATGGAACACTATATTTCTCAGATCATGAGCTTTATACTGTTACTCCTCAATGATTGCTCTTGCCATTATTGAGGAAAACTTCAAAGTATAAAGGAAATGCAAACCTCAAAAGACTTAGTTATAAAGAAAAAAAATCAATAAATTATCAAGATTAAAGTTTTAAAACATACCCCTCCAACTGGAATAGCTCTAAGGAGGACGGCAGAAGTGTTTCAGTGCTAAATTCAAGGCAAATAGCTCCCCAATGGCCTGTGGGTAAAGCCATTGCTTTGTGATATTGCAGCACTAAGCCACATAATCCATTAGGTTACAGGATCAATTCTTGGTCTGTGCCAAGTTAGTTGATCTTAAATGGGACAACAGTTAGGCCACTACATTTGGACTGCGTACTGCTGGGCTGAGAGAAATTTTACTTTGTGTAAAATTTATAGAATATAATTTATTTGTTATAACAGCATTGTTGGCACAGTGGTAGCACTCTCACCTCTGAATCAGAAGGTTGTGGGTTCAAGCCCCATGTTGGGACTTGAATTCACATAGTCTAAGCTGAGACTCCAGTGCAGTTCTGGGGGAAGATTGCAATGTCGGAGGTGCCATCCTTCAGATGAGACGTTAAACCGAGGTCTGCTCTGCCTGTTCAGGTGGACATTAAAGATCCCATGGCACTATTCAAAAGGAGAAGGGAGTTTTTCCTGGTGTCCTGGCCAACAAATCCCCTAAATAAAATTGGTTACCTCTCAACAACACCTGTCAAATTCCCTCCCGAGCTCAGTGACCTTTTACCCAACTCCACTGCTTCATTAACAAGGGCCGCTGTGGTCCCCCCCAATCCCTCCACACCACCATCGATGGCCGAGCCATCAGCTGCTAATGCCCCTAACCTTTGGAATTCTCTCCCTCTTTAAATCCGGCCTAAACAACTAAATCCCCATTCGTTCTGCCTCTACAGCTTTTTGGGAAACGCATTCCACATCTTCAAAATCCTGTGTGTAAAGAAATGCTTCCTAAACTAAGTTCTAACTGTCTTAGTTTTGATTCAAAGTTGTTCACCATGTGACTCATGTTTTTACTGTGTGTTAGCTTCCTATATAAGGAGTGGAAGCCCTCATGTTAATCATTCCATTTTTTATATGCTTTCAGACAACACGTGTTTGGTTTAGCATTGTGTGTCGGTCAGCTCAATTGGTAGCACTCACCTCTGAGTAAGAGTTGTGGACTTTGAACTCATAGTCTTGGCTAACACTCCTGATACAATGCTAGGAGTTTGCTGCATCATTGCACGTGCCATGCTCTGGATGAAATGCTAAACCGAGGTCATGTCTGGCTCTTCAGGCTGACATTACAAATTCCAAAGCATTGCTCAAAAGAAGAAGAGTTTCTCCTGGTGTCCTGGCCAATCATCTTCCAGGTAAAATAGTGCGTTCATTTAATTGCTGTTCATGGGATATTGCTATGTGCATAATTGGCCATAGCTTTCACTTACGAAAGTAGTCACCACACTTTACCGACTATATCCTGTGAAGTCCTTTGAGGGATCCTTCCAATGCCCATTTATAATGGATCCTTCCAGCAGAGGGAAGAATCATCTACTATCTAACCTGTCAATTGCTTTCATTATTTAAAATATCTCAATCGAATCACCCCTCAACCTAGTTTGCTGTGTAAAATAACCTCAATATACCCAGCCTCTCATCGTAGCTATAACCAGGTATTAATTCAGTGAACTATTGCAGGACACCCTCCAGGGCAAGTATATCCTTCCTAAGATTGGGCAAGCAAAATCAAACTACTTAAACCAATTACTTCTGCCAGGCTTTTTGACACTTGCTTGTGGTGTGTCTGCTAAACCCACCGTTTCAAATGAATCTCATTCAATGGCAATGCCACTTTTCAGCAATGGAGAAAATGCAGCATAAATCAAGCGCAAACCAACAACTATTTAAACACCTAAAGATTAAATATATTTGATGAGCCTTTCATTTAATCAATCCCTTGCTTCAGTAGTTAATGACACACTTTAAATACTAGGCACATTTTAGTGTTTGAGCGTACTTAGCAAATACCT